TTTTTTTTTTTAAACTAGGAATCAAACTCATGACCTTGAGCTTGCCAGGCAGACCCTGTGCCATTGAGCTATAATCCCCGGCCACTCCAACTATATATGTTAAACATGGCTTATATGACCTAACACACAAGATGATTTTGAAAATATAACACATATATCTTCAATATGCTATTTAAGAGGATACATTAAAGTCATGTTCAAAGACTTTAAAAATAATACTTATTTTAGGTAACTTGTTGAGTTAATACTCTAATGGCAGAGAAGCAAACTATTTCAAAATCAAAAGATCACCAGGGAAAATCCTAGCAAGCCCAAAATGTTAAATTATCAACTTCAATGAGAATCTTCTTGAAATGACAATGTTAAGATCAAATACCTAAGGCACTCAAATTACCTACCTTGAAATGGACTATTAGACTGTTGAGCAAGGGTAATATGCTCTTCACTGAGAAGGTATACAGGTTGATGTTGATTAATTTCCACACTGGTACAAACATTGCTGTCTCCATGCAAGAAAAAGGTGAAAGAGCAGGACAAGTGTTCACTAATAAAGAAGAAAAAGTTGTATTTTAATAATGATTATTGGTCAAGAAAAAGTTAACTTGCTTTCCTTCATTAAGAAATTAAACCACAACAACATATATTGTCTTTAGCCCAGAAATTTTTCACCATCTTAAGAAAAAAAAGCCATGGATATGAGCAAAGATTTAGCTACAAAAAATGTTCACAGTACTGTTTATAACAGAAAACACTGCAGATAGAAATAAGTGAAGGACACACATATATACAATTATTATATAACTGCAAAAATAAGTTCAGGAGGGTACATTTAATGTTAATGAATACTACCAGGCTACCAAAAAAGTATGGTTTTAATTTTTTTTCAAGAGGGGTAAAAAAAATGGTACTTAGTTAAAAACATCTAGATTGGCCAGGCATGGTAGCGTACGCCTGTAATCTCAGCACTTGGGAGGCTCAGGTAGGAGGATCGTTGCAAGTTTGAGACCAGCCTGGGCTACAAAGTGAGCTCAAGGCCAGCTGACTGCATAGCCAGACCCTGTCTCAAAAAGACCAAAAAAAAAAAAAAAAAAGCCACCATCTAGATTGGCAAGAGAATTAATGGTCACAATTTTTATTTATGTTCGTTTTTCCTACTCTCATTTTATTACTTCTGAAATTGGGCTGTATCCAATCAATCATTTAATGAGTCTCTAGCCAATGAAATTAATTTAAAGCAATGATAGATCTTACAAGTGAAAGCTAAGAATCAAGAATATATGTGAGATAAGACTATCACATGAAATTTAGGTATAGCTGGATATACAGACTGAAAAATAATTCCAAGAGGACAGCAGATATATCCTTAAGATAGATTAGAATCAAGTAGCAGAGAATTCATTTTAAAGACCTAGTTCTGTAACATAGAACCATTCCCATTCCCTTGGGAGGCTGAGGCAGGTGGATCAGCTGAGCCCTGGAATTTGAGGCCAGCCTGGGCTACAAAGTGAGCTCAAGCCCAGCCTGAACTGCATAGCAAGACCCTGTCTCAAGAAAGACCAAAAGGAAAAAACAAAAAAAAACCAACCATTAATCAACTCAAAACATGTACATGGGCCAGGGATACAGCTCAGCAGCACAGTACCTGTCTGGCAAGCATGAGGTTGTGAATTTGATTCCTGGTACCAAAGAAAAAACCATGTACCTATGTATTTATATATAAATCCTTGAGTTTTTTCTGGAGAGGGCAGGACATAAAAATTTTAAGTTATAGTAAAAGTAATGCTAAAGCTAACAAAAATGGAAACATCACAGAAGGGCAGAAAAGAGGTAAAATTACAGCAGCGAGAATATATGTGGGGAGTCAATAGGTAATATGTAAAGTTGATAGAATAAATTAAAATTGAAGTATATTACTCAGATTATAAAGTAACTGACAGAAGTTGGTCTACAGACACTAAGTCATCTCAACTATTACAGTCTGTTACAGATTAAACTCCTACTCTTTCCCCCTTGTCATGAATGCATTTGACTAATCTAATATTTATGTATTTGTTTGTTTTTTGTTTTTTTTTTTTTTTTGAGACAAAATCTCACTAGGCAGTTCAAGCTGGCCTTGAGCTCACTCTGTAGCCCAGGCTGGTCTCAAACTTGCAAGGATCCTCCTGCCTCAGCCTCCCAAGTGCTGGGATTACAGGTGTGTGTCACCACGCCCGGTGACTAATCTAATATTTAAAAAATAAAAACTGAAAAAGTAGCTGACAGAAAACAATAACACGGCTGGGCGTGGTGCCGCACCCTGTAATCCCAGCACTCAGGAGGTTGAGGCAGGAGGACTGCTGTGAGTACAAAGTGAGTTCAATGCTAGCCTGAACTTCACAGCAAGACCCTGTCTCAAAAAGCCGAAAAATAAAAAAAATAAAAAATAAAGCTCAGCTTTCACAATAAGAATCAATAGGCATTGTCTAAAGTTGACAAATCAGATAATTTCCTACCACTTTGTCTGTAATTTGGTAAGCCTCCCCTATTATTATGTTATTCCTCTTTTACTCTTTAAAATAAAAATAAATCAATAAAGTTGACAAATCAATGCCTAGAGACATAAGATATCTGGAATTAGAATAGTAACTGCCAGAACTAGAAAGAAAGTTAAGGAGCAAAAAAAAACCCAACCTGATTATCTTGGGGGATGGAATTGTGGTATCTGATCTGGGACTATTTTGTTATTTTTAGTCATATTCTGTTCTACTTGAATTGAATGGTTGGGTGGGAGGGGTGGCCAGCACTGGGCACTGACTCCAGGGCCTAACTGATGCTAGCTAGCCAAATTCTCCACCAAAGACTTCTTTATAAAAATTCCAGGGTCTCACTACATTGCCCAGACTGGCCTTTAAATTTGTAAATCCTTCTGCTTCAGCCTTCTGAGTAGCTAGGATTACAGGTATGTGCCAACACACTCAGCTTTAAAATTACTTTTATTAATTAATTATTTTTTTTGTACCGGGAATCAAACACAGGACCTTGCACTTGTCAGGTAGGTGCTTATGCCACTGAGCTACATCCCTGACCCCTACAATTACTTTTAAATTTCTAAAAGCTCATTAATATAGTCAGTGGTTACTACATTTTTGTACACTGATTTTTTTGTTTTATATAATTAAAAAAAAACAACACCAAAACTAGGTTCTGTTTGACCTAGCTATTTCCCTTCTTGATATTGTCCCGAAAAAACTAAAAGCACCATACCAGTGCAATACATGCACACCCATGTTTACAGTCGCAGAGTTTGTAACACCTAAATCTTGGAAACAACCCAAATGTCCATCAATCAACAAAGATGCAGAGTTTTTTTATACAATGGAGGGCTACTCTGCCATAAAGGGTAAACTTCAGACACTTCCTAGGTAAACAGATGAAATAAGGACCAAAATGTATAACAGGTATTGGGAAATAGGAAGAAAATGTTCAAACAGAAAGGGGAACTGGGGGGAGGGGTAAAGGAAGGAAGGGAAAAGAAAAAAGTTGAGAAAAGAAGGAAAAAAAATGGAAGCAAAGCTTTTATAAATAAGGAAGGGAAGAGGGTTTGTAGGAAAGCTGGTGGAATGGGAAAAAAATCAAGATATATAATGTACAGATTAAAATTTCCTATGATGAGTGTGATCATTATGTATACCTACACTACCAATAAACTTAATTTTAAAAGAAAAGAAAATGTTCAAATGAGAAGAGGAATAAGGAAGAAGTGGGGAAAGAAAGGAAGAAAGGAACAGAAAAATGAGAACAGAAAAAAAATGGAAACAAAGCCTTTGGAAATAAAGAAGAGAGGAAAGGCTGAAGCAAGGGGAGGGGAATGGGGAAAAAAAGAAGATATCTCATGCACAGGTACAAATTCCCTATGATCATATATATTAAAATGCACCAATAAAAATAAATACATTTCTAAAACTTGTGAATAATATAATCAGTGGCTACTATATTTTTGTATGCTGATTTTTGTTTTTACGTAACCACCCATATAGAAATAATTTAGAATTTACAGAAAAGTTACAAAGATAACACAGGCAATTCCCATGTCACTCTACCCAGTTTCCCCTATTGCTACTATCTTCAACATTTGCCAAACAAGTGATGTGTTACTATAATTAAATCCCAGACCCTGTGAATTTCCACTTAAGTGTTTTTCTGTCTTAGTATCCAATCCAGGATACTATATTAAACTTTACCAATGGTTTTTAATAGGAAAGAAAAAATTAAAGACTGGTTCTCCTCATTAAAATGCTAATCATCCTGGGATAGTTATTAATGGAAGAATTATGACCATAGAGTAGTGGTGGCGAACCCACGGCATGTGTGCTATAATAGGCTGTTTATATCATTGAAAGCTCTAAAAGGTTTGCCATCACTGCTACGGACATTTTTTTGGTTAAAGGGATATAAATCTTAATAATCAGCAACTCAAGATGTGTAGAGAGACTATTAACTAACTCTGAGAGCTGCCCATCCAGAGAAAGACCACTGCTATTTCCCTTTTAAAATAATAAACTCACTTTCATTTTCTTTGTTTTTGTTTTGAGACAGTCTCACTTTGTTTCTCAGGCTGATCTCAAACTCTGGGCTCAAGCGATCCTACATGTCAGCTTTCAGCGTGCCAGGACTGCAGAAGCGTACCACTGTAACCCCACTGCAAACTCATATTCCTTCACTGGTACTGAGGACTGAACCAACAGCACTCTACCAATCAGTTACATCCCCAGGATCCCCTTTTTTTCTCCCCCGGTACTGAGGATTAAACCCAGGTCCCTTGCATTGAGTTACATGTCTACGTCATTTTATTTTTTATTTTGAAACAGGGCTGGCTAAATCACTAAACTGCCTGTGCTGGGCTCAACCTTGTGAACTACCTTCTTCGGCTTCCCAGACTTCTGGGATTACAGGATTATGCCACCATATGGCTCCTTTTTACTATTATTTACTATTATTCATTAAGTTGTCCAGGTGGACTCAAACTTGTGACTCTTCTTTCTCAGCCTCTCAAAGGTGTGAGATTAAAGGCATATACCACAGCCCAGCAAAGCTCACTTTTATTAGTGCGATCCCAGAGTATTTTCCAGCAAAGATATCTGTACTACAAAACACACAACCTACAAACCTAACTCCAAATAAGGACACAAGGGGCCGGGGATTTAGCTCAGCGGCACAGCATCTGCCTGGCAAGTGCGAGGTCGTGAGGTTGATTCCCGGTGCCGGGGGTGTATGTGTGTGGGGGTGGTGCTGCTCCAAATAAGTGCACCAATAGGTACACATTTACATAGAATCTGTACTGGCTGGGGTTATAACTCATTGGTGGAGCACTTGCCTAGGATGTATAAGGTCCAGGGATTGACACCCAGTACTGCCAAAAAATAAAAGAGCTTTGTATTAAATTCATTGTTATATTCAGATCTGTAAGCACTATATACCAAGTCACCAAGTAAAAGCAAGTGTTATTTCTTTCTCATCAAAAAAGTTTTAGGATAAAGCTGGGCGTGGAGGTACACATCTGTAATT